TTAGGAGGAGGGGAGGAAAATTCCTGTGCGTTACAGTGAAACCAGGGCTGTGAACACTTCCCACCCACACGCGGAGCTTCTGGAAACTCCCGTCCACCTGCACAGCCCAGCAGGCATCCCTCACTCGAGCGCACGGCAGGGCAAACCATTCCCAAAGACCTCGGAAGGCTTCAGGCCCGTCCCTCCTCTCGGAGGAGCGGCCCCGGGAGGAGGCCAGGCCCGTGGGATAAGCCGGAGCTGAGTCCCTGCCTTTTGTGGAAGAGCGGCGGGCAGGCAGCTCTCCCACCCACGGCAGCAGGGCCGGCGGGCCGGGCGCACGTCCTCTCCGGAGCAGAGCTCGTGGGGCTGAGCCCAAACCCTCAATTACCCCAGCGCACATCTGCAGAGCCCGCTCAACTGGAACAGCGCGCAGCTATTCCCACTCCGCTTCCAGCCCCTACCTAAGACAACATCTTTGGGAAAATAGAATAAACCGCAGTGGCCAGGAGGCTCCTTGCTTGCTGAGATCCTTCCCCAGCCCGATTCAGCTGAGACCACAGGAAGCTGTGCACCAGCCCCAGGGGGCAGGGCCAGGACGCAGCGTGGCAGGCGAACGGGTCATCCCTCCTGGCCCTCTCAGGCTGGTCTCTGCTCCTGTAGCATCTCCCACTTAAGGGGAGTGCCAGCTCACTTGCAGCCCGAATGAAGGCTCGGCTCTCTGGGAAGCCCATCAGAACCCAGAAGGCGAGCGTGAGAAGGACCCCAGAGAGCATGCAGACCAAGCTCCTTGTTACGGATGGCGAAACTGAGTCCCACAGAGGGCAATGGCCTGGCCAAGGCACACGCCTGGGTCAGGAGTGGTCAGAGGGGTGCGATGACTCCAGGGCGCCTCCCTTCCCGTTGGGCCCTCTGCACAGTACTGGGGGCAGGGGCCACCTCTCCCCGGGTCCCTGGAAGGCAGTGATTCTCTGCAGGTGGAAGTGCATCTTGGGCCGTGGGCCACCTCGGTCCCTATGGTCAGTCTGCCGTCTGTCCTCTACCTTCTCTTTTGCTTTCTGCCTGTCCGTCAGTCCCACAAGTGCTCAGGGAGCACTCGGCATGTGCCCGGCCTTGAGCAGGCGGACGGGCAGCAGCAGGCTTGGTACGGTCCTCTGTCACCGAGCTCAGTGTTCTCGGGGAATCATAAGCAGGCAGCGATGACAGCAGATCTGCCAGCAGGATCAGTTCTGGTCCCCTGGTTAGAGATTTCCTGCCAGAAGCTCGACAGCTCCTAACTTGTTCTCCTGGCACCTGGTGAGAGGGAGGTTTTCCCAGGGGCCCCTCTAGGGCCCCCGAGCTCCTGACAGCACTCACTACGGAGCAGCTCAGAGGCTCACCGTTTGCTGAAGGAAGGAGGCCATGACTCAGTGGTCTCAGTTCTTCCACGTGTCCAGCAGCCACTCCAGCTGACCCACCCATGGCTGGAGCAGGTCCTGCACCAGGGGCTGCCAGGGCACCTGAGGGATTCCTGGGGAGCAGAGCGCAGGTGGGGGCACCCAGGCCTGCACATTCGGGACTGGCCCGATCCTGTGCCAGGTGCTCCCTGCTCTTGGGAGAGGCCAGAGCGCTGGGCAGGGGCACAGGACTCACCTGCCCAATTACACAGACTCAGCCCCCGAGATTCCCAGGGAGAAATGGACACTAACAGCTCCGCTTCCCGGCCTCTCCCATGGCCCCGCTGCTCCCAGGGCTGCAGATGCCTCGGCTGGTGGGCAGCTGGCACTAAGCCTGGGGTGGAGGAGGAGCGGTCGGCGACCAGGAGCTGCTGGCCCCAGGAGCGGGCAGGGCACAGGAGAGGGGCAGCAGGATGCAGCGTCCGCCCGCGCCCCAGCGCCCCCACCCAGCTCCTCCCAGGACTCCGCAAAGTCTCTCCCTTAAAGGCTCCATCCGCTCAACAGACGTCAGCAAGCGCCTCGTGCGCCAAGCCCTGGCCAGGGTGCAGGGGGCCGGTCAGGTCCTGCTCCTCCACTGCCTACCGTCCACCACGGACGTCAGACCGACGAGTAGGGGCGCAGTGATAGGGCCTGCTGGAATCCGGGGCGGCGGGGTCCCAACTCGGAAGAACTCGTCATTCACACCACACAAGCATTCGAACTCCCACAGGCGAGGGCAGGCTGGGCCTCGGGGGCCCTGACACAGCTGGCTCCTGGCTTCAGGATCAATTCATCTAACAGAGCGAAAGCCACCTGCGTAAGCATCGCGCAACTGGGAAGTGACACGTATGCTGAAGGGTCCCATCCTGGGAGGACGGGAAGCCCTCCTGGAGGAGGTATCTGTGAGCAGATCCGGGCCTCGGCGCCGAGTGTGAGAAACTGACCAGGCGCACGAGCAGGAGCGGGGCCCGTGTGCGGGGTGTGCAGGGTGTGCAGGGTGATGGACCCACACTGGAGGGGCAGAGACGGGGGCCCTGGGACAAACGTGGGCACAGAGCGGTAGCTTCTGTCGGCTGAGGCATCACTTCTCAGAAATGAAACCCTGACAGACCCTGAAACGCACAGTGGGACCTCAGTGACCGCGGCTGGTGGCCGTCAGGCGCTGCGGGGTGTGCAACACGAGCTCATTTGCTCCTGACGCTGACTCACAGACGAGGAGACTGAGAGTCAGAGCAGCCCCAGCCGGGGAAGGGCAGCGCGTGGCACTGACCTCATATTCCCACTCAAAGTCCAACAGCCTTCCTTGGTGTCCCTGTGGCTCCCTGCCCTGCGACAACGGGGCACCCAGCCTGCCGACTCTGCCAGTTCCAGACAGGGGCTCCAGCGCCGCCTCTGAGCCCCATGTGCACAGTGAGCAAGGCCCTGCACTGCTTCACGGACCCTGCTGGGAGCCCCGGGAAGCCTGGGGAGCAAGAGCTCGGGGAGAGCTGGGCACCGTTCCACGTCCCACGTCCCACGTGCAGAACGCGGCGGCTACGAGTGCCCCTCATCTCCCCACCTGCACTGTGCCTCCACTTCTCCTGGCACGGAGGCCCGGCCAGCACCGGCAGGGGGCATGGTGCCTGCGGGACATCAGCAGACGGCCGAGCCACCACCCTCCTCTCTTGTCCTTTGGAGGGGCCGTCTCACACCTGCGGCTGCTCACACCCATTCCTCTCAGCCCCAGAGCCAGACCTGCAGCTGGAAGGAAGGGGGCGGCCAGGAGCCCAAGACGGGCAGTCACAGAAGCTGGGGGAGGGCTCTATAGGTCCAACAGCAAAGGTCTGCGGAGACGCATCAGGGCGCGCTGGACCCTGCAGGGACCTCGGTTCCCGAGAGGGACTCTGGGTGGGAGAGTGTCGGTGTTACTGCGCCAACACCTGGAACCGGGCCTGGAGTGAGCGGAGGGTGCTGCTGTGCTCCCATGGCCTGCAGGGCGGGACTGAGCAGAGCCAGGCCCAGGGGTGGCGACCAGAGAGCCTGGAGGTCCGATGGTGCCTTCCGCCTGTCTCCACTCTGCAGTGGCTGTCCAGAGAGAGGGGTCAGCTCCCTCCAGCCATGTGGCTTGTGGCTTCTGCCATGCCTGCTCCCCATCTTGGGTCCCCTCCCTGCCCCCCTGGCCTCAAGAGCCTGGGCGGGGCCATAGAGGGCACAAAGGTGGAGCGGACCAGGAGCTCCTGCTGAGCCGCGGATGCTGCAGGGCCATGCAGGGACAGCCCCTCAGGAGCTGAGCGGCCCCACGTCATCTGTTCTCAAGGACGTCTTGCTCCAGCCAGACCTGAGGGCAGATGAGGGGCCAGGAGGGCACGGTGTGGTCAGGGCCGGGGAAGCGGGGGCTAAGACGCCGGGTCTTCAGGAGAGCAGCAGAGCCCAGCACTCCTGTGTGATGGGGAAGACAAGCATCCAGCTAATCTGAGGCCCTGAGGGCAGAAACGGATGTGGGCCACCTGTCCGTCCTCCTGTCTGCACATGGGGCTGGATGGACAGAGTAGACCACGGACACATGGACGGTAACAAGCTATTTATGGACAGTGTTTCTAGAATCCATGCACTAGCACTTGCAGTATAAACCCAGCATCCCGATCTAGAAATACAAACTAACAGCCTAAATTAAGTAAATATAGAAACTCAGATAGATACGCCTGTACGTACCAAACTCTGAGAAGAAACGCGTCAAGGTGGCTGTGGCTGTCTTCTGGAGGTGGCATTATAAGCAAACTCGGTTCTTCTTTTGGATTTTCAATAATCCACAAATACTAAATACTTGGGAATGTTCTCCCAAGGTCTTGTTGGAGGGACGGACCCTCTTGGCTGACACGGTAAAGCCCCAGCTCTGCTACCAGGACCCACTCACCCTCACCCCACAGGTGCTTTGTTCCCCACAACCAACCTGGCCCAGAAACCTGGAAGGCAGCCCAGCCCTCCATAAGCACGATTCCACAGGCTGAGCGCTGCCCCGATGCAGGAGGCCCTGCCCGTGGGTCCTGCCACAGCTCAGTGCTGCGCACCAGCAACATTTCCCAGAGTGAGTCGGGGCACACACGGGCCGAGGGCCCCCGCCTCCCGCCTGCCCGTGGCTCGGGCCTGGCCTTTGCATCAGGCCTAAGAAGCACGCGCTTGGCAGACCCAGAGGCTTCTCTTCTCTGGTTCTGTGCTGCACATCATTCTGACCTCTGGCCGCGGTCCAGCTGCTCGCTTCTGCAGCAGTGAAGACACCTTCCTGACCCAACACTCACCCTCACCCCTTCTGTCAGGCCCCTGTGGGTGCTGCTGATGCTGGATGCCCCCACCTCGCTGCCCCTGCTCCTCCAGGGACAGGCCGATGCAGCCACAGGTGGAGGCTGACGCGCAGAGGAGGCCGGAGTGGGGTCGAGTGGGTGGGGGGCAGCTGGCACTTCCCGCAGGAGGTCCAGGGCTGCGGGGTGAAGCTGGGGGTGGCCGAGGGATGGCAGTCTCCCCTCTGCCCCACTGACCACGCCTTCCCGAGGCCCGGCTGCTCCCGCCGACACGCGATCACCCGTCAGGGCTGACGACCCAACTGTCCACGGCAAGGCGCGTGCGCGGGCCTACCTTGAAGACGAGGCAGTCGGCCTTGTGCTCGGCGTACAGGGAGGTCAGCCGGTACTGGCTCTCCGCGGTGACGTCTATCTGGTAGCCCGTGAGCGCGTAGCAGGCCTTCCGGAACTCCTGGATCTTGGTCTGGAAGACCTCCTTCAGCCGCTGGTTCTTCAGCTCTGCACTTTCCACCTGCTTCCTCAGCTCTGGGGGAGGAAGGGAGGGACAGGTGAGCTCACCAGCCGGCCGGACACAAGGGGCGGTGCTGGGGCCACAAACCCGGAGGAGGGGCAGGGACCCAGAGGAGCTGCAGGGTGCCAGGGGCAGAGGCCGCTGACCGAGGGACAAGGTCGAGGTGGGGCCCAAACGTGAGCTATTCCTGCCCCAGGGGACGGCTGCATGCTCCATCAGCAGGCCCGAACGCGCACGCTCAGTTACTGGACAAAACGAACAAGGGGGTCAACAGCCTGACATCCTGGTGGCAATAACGATAAGGTCTTTAAATCAAAACCAGCAGCTCTAAAGAAAACAGTGAGTGAAAACAAGCTACCTTCTGGGCTCTGAGCTCCCGACTCGACACCTGGCCCGGTTCCTTTCAAAAGGATGGCTCTCGGCCAGCACAATGGGGAACACTGAAGGCCGTCCCGAGTCAGGACACAGCGGGCTGGCCATGACAGGCCGTGTGCTTGCCCCCTCGCTGGTCAACTTCAGGCAGGAACGCTCTGGAGGAGCGGGCACTGGCCAGGAAGCCCGATCCTGGACAGAGGTCCTGGGCCTGCACGCGCCAGCCAGTGATGGGACAAACACCCAGTCTGGACAGAGGTCCTGGGCCTGCACGTGCCAGCCAGGTGATGGGACAAACACCCAGTCTGCAGGCAAGTCCCTGCCGAGGCCAGAAGACCACCGGCATGGACCACTCTGAGAAGCAGAGAGGGGACGGGGCAGCAAGAGCAGACGTCATTTGGAGACAGCCGGTGACAGTGCCCGGGGGTTCCCCCACTGGCCACTCGGAGAAGAGACCACATGTGAGGACAGGCTGCTGTGTGGGGTCCAGGCAGACCCCCTGAGCCCGCCATCCACCCCCGGCATGGCTCTAACTGGACCGTTCTGGGCAGAGGCCCCCTGGGCCCACCCGCCACTCCCGCCATGGTTTACAGCCGCATGGGGAGAAGCCAGCTGTGTGCAGACGTCAGGAGGATACACAGCAATTACCACGAATCCCTCACCCAAGGTGCCCCCCGAGTAATTACACCTCCATTATTCCCCCCATTAATTAGCGAGGCTGGCTCTACTTCAACGTGCACGTGGTTGTCGCCGAAGCCAGGCGCTTCCTGGTGGTCCTGTCTGGAGTGCGGGCGGGGAGCCCCCTCCAGGGCCTGGGGCTGCCCCGGGCGGGACAGGAGCCCAGCTGGCCGAGGGGGCTGTGGGAACCAGGCCTTGGAGGCGGTCAGCTGGTTTGAGTCCTGCCCTCCTGCAGGCTGTGAGCCCCAGGACCACGCCACTGTGACAGTGAGAACAGCCCCTCCCCTCAGGCTAAACCACAGGACCCGTGGGGTGCCCCATGCTGGCGTGGGCGCCCATGTCCAGGCCTGGTAACCACCAGCCCCCTGGTGGAGCTGAGAGTGGGCAGGGTCAAGGCAGCCCATTTAAGATGAGAGGATGCAGTCAGGGTCACTTCCTGGAGGAGGTGAGGGGGGCAGGGGACAGGGGAGCCTGCATTCCAGGGAGAGAAAGCCATTGGAAAGCCCCTACCGGGCTCTGCCCTTCCTGACCCTCGGCCTGGAGCCTGTCACCACACCATTTGGCTCCCAGAGCTCGCTGGGAGCAGAGCGTCCTCCAGAGGCCGTCGCGAGGATCCAGTTAGGTCCTTCGGGAGGCTGGCAGCTGAGCCCCGGGCAGCTTCAGGGCACAACTGTGATGGCAGGAGCTCAGCTACGCCCCAGGCACCAACACCGCTGCCCAGGCGCTGCGAGGTGGTTGTGGCTCTTCCCATTTTACAAACAGGACACGAGGCCCCGAGAGATCCACTGCTTGGCCACAGACAAAGGGCAGAAGCAGGGCCGTCCAACTCCAGGGCCAAACGCCCGACGACCTCGCCGTCTCTCACGTGTGCTAGAGCAGACCAGGGCTCTGGACACGCATCCCAGGTCTCGTCCACACCACCTGTGGCTCTGCAGGACTCAGCCCGGCCTGGCACTGGCCACGTCCTGGTTCTGATGGGGCATCCTGACACCAGGGCGCTGCTCCTTTCGGCATCTCCACGGCATGGAAGGGCCGCACTTGACACCCGTCGCCTGAACGTCCAGCCCGCTGGCTGTGCCCGCCCTCGCCTGTCCCGTCCGTCAGCGGCTCCACGGCCCTGGCACACACGGCCACTCGGAGCCGAGAGCCTCCTGCCAGGACACAGGTGGTGTCCTCGATTAATCGAGCCATCAGACCTCGAAACAAAGGGGTAAGCGACAGCTCGGACCCGAGCTCCTCCCTGTGTCCCTCACCGGCCGGCCCAGGACGGATCTGTCAGAGGGAGGAAACCTCCCCCAGAAGGAAAGCCCTGGCCAGGCTTCCTCGGGGAGGCATCACCTGTCAGAGACGCCCGGCCTTCAGCAGCACTCGGGGCCGACGGGAAGAGCTACATTTTGGTGACAATCGCAGCCTGACGTTGGAGAAGGAAGCAGCCCCTCTGCCTCAGACCTCAGAGTGCTGCTGGTTAGGAGCTCACTGGCTCCAGCAAGTGGCCGGGGCCAGAGGCGGGGCTGCCCCTCTCGGGCGTGATGTGCCAGCCCACGGGAGGGGAAGGGGGTGGTCATGCTCACTCCAGGCACCTGTGACTCTGGGCTGGGTATCAGGACCCCCAGGAAAGGCACCTCGCCACCTACCCCAGGGTGGCCCTCACAACACCACGGGCTCCCACGGCGCCCCATGACGGGCAAGCATGTGGGGGCTGGGGGAGGGGACTTCCTCCAGGTCACACAGCCTCCGGGTGGAGAGGGGACCTGACCCCAGTCTGCCCAGTCCAGGTAGGGCAAAGCCCAAGGCTTTCAGGTAAAGCGCACCTGGACGAAGGGCAGTGGGGCAGGAACCCTGAACGAGCACTTTGACATGGGGCAGGCAGAGTCAGTGCTCTGACCTCCCCATCACGCTCGTAGTTCAATCGCTTACATAAACGTGAATGAATAATTCACAGGATGCTTTGGATTAAATAAATAAAAGATGGGCCTTCTGCTCGGAAGTGCCGCTGCTCTGACGCAGCCTCTGCCAGAGCGAGCCGAGGCTTCCCCGGCGGGGTGGAGTGGCCTGGCGAGTGGCGCTCCACAGACGCTCCTCTGGGGTCTGCGGTGACCCAGAGGCAGTCACAGCCGCCCCGTCCAGGCCCAGCGGCCACTCTCACGCCTGCCCTGCTGGTGACGACCACATCCGGGCAGGCAGAGCCCGCGGAGCAGACACGGCCCTGTTAGGTCTGCCGACAGCCCCGCAGAGCTCCTGGGCCGCCCACCTCAGGCCCACCCTGCTGTGTGCGTGTCCCAGGCCACTCGACTGTGCTGGGGGCGCGTCACCAGACACTCGGGATGAAGACCTCACACCTGCGCCCTAGTCACATCTGCTCTGGGGTGTCCAGCCAAGGGCCCCTCCAGGCCCTGCAGCCCTGGGATCAGGCCCACACTCTGAGAGGTTGCTGAGCCCTCACGCCCAGCGAGACTCAGCCTCGCCCTCCCTCACTTCTGCTGCCCTTTGACTCCTGCCCTCCAGCCTCACTGGCTGGGGGAAACTGTCCGTAAACCAACATCTATTCTCTCTGCCCAAAGCCGTCCCTCCTCACCCCTGCCGCCCTCGCCCCGCCACCTCGGGCCCCTCCTCGCTCTTCAGCGCTCTGCACAGCCTCTCGGCAAGTCCTTGGTGAGGGGTGAGGGAGGCCTGTGGACAAGCAGGCATCAGAGAAGAGAGGGACACCATCACCCAGAACCCAGGCGCAGAGGCGGGCAGAGCCCGTGCAGGCCAGGGATGGATGTGGAGGTCAAGGGGCAGCCGAGGCTGCAGCTTCTGAGCAGCGCGTGTGCCCTCTGACCAGGCGTGCAGCCGGCCCAGGCCCACTGGCTGCCTCCAGCCACGTCCATGGGAGGTCCTCTGATGGCTCTGACCTCCACCCCTCCTCCGCCATCACTCCCCAACACCTGGCTCCTCCTGGACTCTCAGAAGGCAGCTGTGAATCTCCGCGGGAAGGATGCAGAACAAAAATAAATGCCACTCTGTTATATAAAGGCCGGCAGGAGGAGAGCGGCTTCCCCTCCAAGAGCAGAGATGTCAGGATAAAGGAGCGCTCGTGGGCACACGTCTCCACGATCCCGCTCACAGCCTGAACAAATGGTTTTATTCTAGAGGGGCGGTGGGCCACGGGAGAGGCAGACGGAGGGACGGATGCAGATGTGCAGCAGTCAGGTCTCTGCCCAGCCGGGTCTCTGCAGGCTCCAGCTCGCGGCCTCCCCGGCCAGCAGAGCCCAGCTGCGCCTCATTCACTAGAGCGCACCCACACAGTGGCTCTGTCTCCCTCTCAGCGGTCTGCAGGAGCAGGGGCAGGAGCAGGGTGGCGGGGGAAGCCCTCTTCTCTGTGCTCTCAGGCTCACCCGAGGCTCCTCCCGCTCCTGCTCAGACCTGCGGGACGGCTGACCCACACTCTGGACTGGAGCCCGGGTCGAGGCCTTTCGGAGACGGAAGCAGCCAGCAGCGGCACTTTCCTCCCAAGGTCTCTCACTCCTCCAGTGTTAAGACACACGCAGACGAGACAGTAGCAGAAACACTTTCGAAGGTGCCAGCGGCTCTCAGGAGAGCGGCCCACCACGTGGACAAGGGGTCCACTTGTCCACGTCCCTCCTTTTCTCTGGGCCTGAGCTGTGCCCACCCCCAGCAGGCCAGACGGCCCTGGACCATGGCCAGCTGGCTGTGGGGGATGGGTACTGTGCCTGAGGGGGCCCGGCCCGGCCTGGCCTGGCCCTGCACCGACGCCCTGCAGAGCGCTGGCCAGCCCTGTCCCGCGGCTGCTCTCTGTGGACAGACAGGCCTCCGCAGCACCCACTCTGTCGAGTCCAGAACGATCCTGACAGTGGGGCGAGTGCCACGTGCCGCTCACTGCACCCCGGCCCCATCCGCAGGGGCTGTGGCGGCTCAGCCACCTGAGGAGAAGCTGGCAGGCGTGGGAACAGCCAAACCCGGC